ATAAACTAGAGACATACCCACCCATTTTTTTCTGGTAAACCCGATGGTCATCGGTAATGGGTCATTTTTGTTCTTTCCGCCGTAGTCATGGAAATTAACCAGAGTAAAGTTTACCATAGTAAACTGAAAACTGCCAGTCACACTTAACGGTGCCGTTTTACAATGATAAACTTTCTCCAGTGTGACCTCAACCACAGAAATCACTTGCATGCAGTCGGTGAAGAATTGCTTTAGTCATAAAGACACTGAATGTAAGGCCCGTGGTTCGCCGAAAGTTTTGATTTCACCTTCAGATGGTGCAACTAGAACTACCAGGTACTACGCCCCGGGGGGAGTCCTGGTACTACGGTGATTTCTTTATTATTGGCAAGACAAATTTAGGTTGGCTTGAAAACAGACTGGCATGGCCCAGGTTGAATAATTAATCTTGTAAGATTGTGTATGTTTACTTTTGATGAGATAACTCTAAAACAGTTGCCAGGTGCTATAAGAGAAGTTTATGGGGTCAGCTTTGCAGCTTTAGTTCTCTGATGGCAGCCTGTTTGCATTTTTTATCATCTGTATCTTTCACACATGAAGTCAGTAAATAGTAACCGTGAGGATTTAACTGGGTTCTTTTTATAAATAATATTGAGCACTTTCTTCAGGGATCTTTAGTCTTAAATAACAAACTAATGAAAAAATACTGCGAATTTCCCATATTTCATGCAGTAAGCAGTTAAAAAACTTGAGAGCTAAAAAGTGAAAACACGCAAACTCTTAAGTTCTAAAGCAACGAACCTTGAAACTAAGAAACACACAAAACGGATCAAAATCCACCAATAACAAGTCACAAACCGTGACCTTTTGAACCCGTTGAAGTAAACTTCTAATTCCTAAGAGATTCGTTAAGAAGGCGCCGAGCCTTCAGATTCTGACTGACAATAAAGCAGAAAATACCAAAATCTAAAGACGTTTTTGACATCGCAGGTCGCGTGTCATCCGAAACAGCTGTAACTCAAGCCAGCAAAATATGCAAATCCCTGCTTATAAATGTGTTTTCAGGGTAAACAAGTTGACTGACTTCAGTGTATAGGCAGTTTGGCGCCTAGCTGTTTCAAATACCTCTAAATTATCATAGTCACAACATCCATCTACACATACACACACACTAGTCTTGAACATACTTCTTAGATAATTAATTTGATGTTCAAGATTAATCGCAGTAATGTGTATATTCCATTGACAAGAACCAAAGTGCGAGCTTGGTGGCTTTTATGAAATTCTACTTCTAAATTACACTACTCATGCATTTCTCCTTCCAATCTTTTGTTTAAAAAGGGTAGCTGTTTTCAAAATGTAAAGTGTTTAACTGTGTTTAAACTTATCTTTTCATTCAGTGTCTGGAAAACAGATTTATTTATTTTCATTTTACTATCAGAGACCTCACATGCATCATATTCTCATTTTAATTAGTGTACTTCATTTATTATCAATCAGACTTCAAAAGATGATTCATTCCTTTTTTTTTATAAATCTGACATTTGTTATGTGCAATCATCCACTGGCCACATGCTCCTGTATATAACCAATATGAGAGTGACAGTTCCCGTGACATATATGTCACGTCGCGCTTCATAGGTTGACAGCTCCTTCCTTATTGACAGTTGATACCATTTTACTGTATGATTTTAATTTTTCTCTGAACAAAAAGGCTTGTCTGTTCACTCTTTGTTCCTGTCTCCGCCCCCATCTTTTTTACAATGATGATTTTACTTTTTTCTCTCCGCGCATGGCTCTGGATTAAGGAATAGAAGGACGACTGCTAGCGGTCTATCTACAGGGGCACCCAACGAAAATTTTTAGAAAATATCTGTTCGGAAGACGATTTGAGATCTAGAATTTTCGAAACATTTGTCGTTAAATTTCTTGCTTGCCTGCCTCTCCTAGGATTTTCGAGCTCCCAAAAGACGGTATTAATAATTGCCCATTTTTAACGCATTTTCACCCTAAAAAGGTCACCTAGAATTTTTGGGAGCCTTTTTCTGGCTGAAATTTTCGAAAAGGTAAGTTTTGATCCCTACACAATTCGGATCACTAGGCTTTCAGCTAGGAAATCCGAACAGATGAAAAATTTTTAGGGGATAAAAATATGCCTATATCTACTGTTTAAATACTAAAATACGGTCAACAATGCTATTTTTAAGTGGTTTTGAACTATATTCTCGTTGGGTTCCCCTGTATCTAGTTTACCTCGAATTTTCAAATCCTTGCCAGCACTTCCGGCTAGGCCGATTAACATCAAATGAGAAATCTTTGGAAAGCATTCAATTTTGACCAACTATGTTTCGTTTTTTACCTTCTCATGTCTTGTGTGCTCTTCTGTTCTTTTGAGATAGAAATTCTACACGTTTACAGGAAGTTCATGTGCTTCAATTACCAAAATATGCGTCAATTTTACATGATCGCGCAACATCACATTCGTCAAGCATACGCAACGCAATACGTATGTAACGAGGTGGATGAGACCTCCGTGATATACGTATCTTCTCTGTTAAGCATACGCATCCCAACCTCATTATGTAAGCGCTTGATGGTATGTAGGCTATCGGCTTAAGTCCATCGTTTGCCACCCACACACGACCTTCAACATTTAAGACAATTTTCAACAAAGAATTGGTACATAGGGTCTTGTCGAAAGTAAAGTAATCGGCACTGGACAGGATGCCAAAGCGCCGGGTGTTCTGAAGTTTAGCCGTTCTATTAATCGTGTGTAATAAGACAATATTAAGGAGCTTTAATATTATCTATGAGAGAAAAGTATTCAGTGAAGGTGACTCAAAATTGGCCTGTACTGACAAAAACGACACAAAATATAGCTATTGGAACGCCTTACGGTTTGGGTAGTTGGGTAGCTAGTTGACTGATTCCTCCCAGTGGAAACTCGAGTATTAGAACCAGGAGAATTAGAGAAGTTTTCACGTCTTCTACTTTTGGAAATTTTATCATGTTTTAAAGCACTGTAAACTTACTAGTGTTCTCTTGGTTGTACCAGACGTTTGACCAGTGATCTATGATTTCTCAAAGTTTCGCTCGGTCGTTTCGTGTTGTAAACAATATGTCTAAAAAATTTTAATTCGATATCGCATTCTTATGCGTTACGAGAGCTGAAATGTCGTTGGGGGTGGGGAAAAGACACGGATGACAGTTCAGACGAAGCTGGTTTCGGTTTGGAAAGTGACTTCATAAGGCCTTATTTCCGGAGGAGTATCAGTTATGTATTGTTTGTGGCTTTTCGAGTTTCTGGACTAGTCGTACGTGACAGAAGTAACAAGAGCAATTGCTGTTCATTTTGCATGGTTTTGGCTATGTTTGGCCATCCCATACATTTTCTTTGCGAGACATGAAACGCGACACTTGGACTCTTACCCTTCAGACCTCTAATATGGCGTGATTCGGTGGGTGTTGGAGTTCAATCCAGGCGGTGTGCGCCTTGGGATCGCAAAGCATCATGGGCGGTGTTCAAAGTCTGATCATTTGTGTAAAGATGGCGTGGCGCGTGGAGTAAACATCTCGCAGGAAGCGACTGTGGAGACGAATATTCGTTAAATAGGCTGTAGAAGTTAGCTATTTCCCTTTATTTTCTTCCAGAGACGCCTGAAAAACAATGTCTATCGAATTATCGGGAAAAAAACAGTCTCATTCCGTTCATAAGTGTATTTTGCATGCGGTCGGTGAAGAATTACTTTAATGTGTCATGAAAACACTGAAGGCAAGACCCTTGGTTCGCCGAAAGTTTTGATTTCACCGTCTGATGGTGCAACTAGAACTACCAGGTACTACGGCGATTTCTTTATTATCGGCAAGACGAATTTAAGTTGGCTTGAAAACACACTGGCATGAGGCAGGGTGGATAATTAATCCTGTAAGATTGTGTATGTTTACATTTTAAAAGGTAACCCTAAAACAGTAGGTATGAGAGAAGTTTATGGGGTCAGCTTTACAGCTTTAGTTCTCTGATGGCACTCTGTTCGCATTTTTTCATATGTATTTATCACACTTGAAGTCAATAAAAAGTAAATAAAGATATCAATACATGTACAGTGAGGATTTACGTGTGTTCTTTTTATAAATAATATTGAGCATTTTCTTCAGGGATCTTTAGTATTAAATACCAAGCTAATGAAGAAATACTGCGAATTTGTATCCTTGCTTTGTATTGGTATGAGTCACAGAATGTAAGGTTTGGAATTGAAAATGGCATACGGTATTTGTGATTACTAATCCTTATACAATCAAACAGATTAAGTTATAAGAATTTTGCCTTTATTTTTTATATGAATCGCGGTATGAGTTTGTACAAACACATCTCATCACATATTTGTTGTATGCTAAATAATAATTTTCATAATTCAAAATTTGAAAATGTTATCTGTGTTTACAAATCTCCTGTAATCAGGCGCAAAATGGAGGGAGACCCCCTTCCTTTCTTGTTTTCAAGAAATGATCTAAACTTGCCATGTTTCAGTAAATTCAATTTTTGAAGCAAGGACCAGTTTGCAAAAAAGAAGGACCGGACCCTAGTAAAGGATCTAATTAGCAATAAGTGAAAATATAAAACAAAAGAAGCAAGGCTGATTTGACAATCGGGAATATATATATTTTTTAACCAATATTTTTGTCACCCTAGACGTGTCATCTCTCTACACTAACATTCCTCATAACGAGGGCATAGATGCCTGTCGTCATTTTCTCAATACACGCAACCACAATATCACACGGACAGAAGCACTTACGCCCCATGACACTTCCACACTGGACAAACCAGAACGTGTTCCCTTCGTTATCACCTACAACCCAGCCCTTCGTTTCATCTCATCCATTATTTGCAAACACTTTCACATCCTTATTTCATCCCCCCGTTGCTATAACGTCTTTAAAGCTGCGCCCATTGTTGCTCATAGACGTAGTAGTAACCTCTGTCAGTGATTTTCTAGTTAGGGCCAAACTGCGCAATCTCACACAGCACAACCAGCCCCGGGGCTCATACCCATGCGGAAAAAAACTGTCTCACTTGTAAATGCATATCTGATGGACAAACTTCATACACACTCTACTCTACAGGCGAAACCAGACCTATCGCTCATCACATTGACTGTAACTCCAAAAACATCATGTACTTGATACAATGCAACCACTGCTCCAAACAATACATAGGTGAAACCAAACGACGACTCAAAGACCGTTTCAAAGAACACCGCAGACCAGTTTACAACCCATCTAATATCTCTAAACCCACCACAGTCTCAGGACACTTTCTTACTAATGATCACTCTGCTAACGACATCACACTTATTCCACTAGAGTTCATTAAATCTAATAGAGACAGTGTACGAAAAGCTAGAGAAGCATACCTCATCGAGAGGGGAAAAACTCTTGAAATAGGTATGAATAAGAAAGATGAAATGTAATACATTCTTTATTTCTTCTGTTTGTTATCACTTATTTATACTATTTTTACATTTCAGATTTCCTTCATATCACTACTTCAACGGTTTTTGTTTTCACATACTTTTTTTTAATTAACGTTTACTTTTCCTCATTTAAATTTTCAGGTGTTATTATACTATCATATTGCACGCTATTCTTTATTTCAAATTGTAACGTCTTAGCTTAACCTCATCATTGTATGTAAGATCCAGGAGAAGGAAGGCTCTGCCTTCCGAAATATTGGTAAAAAAACATCTATATTCCCGACTGTAAAATCAGCCTTGCTTCTTTTATTTAATGTTTCAGTGAGCGGTAAAAAAAAAATTAAGAGCTAAAAAGTGAAAACACCCGAACTCTGAAGTTCTAAAGCAACGAACCTTGAAGCTCAGAAACACATTAAACGGATCAAAATCACAAACCATGATCCTAAGGCACCAAGACTTCAGATTTTGATTGACGTGGCAGAAAAACCCAAAATACAAAGACGTTTTTGACATCGCAAATCGCGTGTCATCCACGCTGTTACTCAAGCCAGCAAAATATGCAAATCCCGTGATATAAATGTTCTAAAAAATGTTCTAAGGGTTAACAAGTTGACTGACATTAGTGTATTTTAAGCAGTTTGTCGCCTAGCTGTTTCAAATACCTCTAAATTATCATAGTCACAACATCCACCCACACACACACTAGTCTTGAACGTCCTTCTTAGATTATTAATTTGATGCTCAAGATTAATCACAGTAATGCGTATATTCCATTGACTAGAACCAAAGTGCGAGCTTGGTGGCTTTTATGAAAGTCTACTTCTACATTACACTACTCATGCATTTCTCCTTCCAATCTTTTGTTTAAAAAGGGTAGCTGTTCTCAAAGTGTACAGTGTTTAACTGTGTTTAAATTTATCTTTTAATACAGTGTCTGAAAAAAAAAAAAAAAAAGATTTATTTATTTTCATTTTACTATCAGAGACCTCACATCCATCATATTCTCATTTTAATTAGTGTACTTCATTTATAATCAATCAGACTTCAAAAGATGACAAGCAATATAATAGGGCATTTCTCATTCATATATTTTTTCATAAATCTGACATTTGTTATGTGCAATCATCCACTGGCTTCATGCTCCTGTATATAACCAATATAAACTATTTTGTAGTTAAATTGTAATTACGAAAGTGACACTTCCAGTGATATGTCAAGTGGCGCCCCCCAGGTTGACAGCTCCTTCCTTACTGACAGATGATACCATTTTGCTGCATAAGTTTATTTTTTTCTGTAAACAAAAAGGCTTGTCTGTTCACTCTTTGTTCCTCTCTCCGCCCCTATCTTTTTTACAATGATAATTTTATTTTTTCGCTCTCCGCGCAAGCTTCGAATTTTCAAATCCTTGCCAGCACTCCCTGCTAGGCCGATTAGCTTCAAATGAGAAATCTTTGGATAGCATATAAGTTTGAGTAACTATGCTTCGTTTTTTACCTTTTCATGTCTTGTGTGCTCTTCTGTTCTTTTGAGATAGAAATTCTACATGTTTACAGGAAGTTCATGTGCTTCAATTACCAAAATATGCGTCAATTTTACATGATCGCGCAGCATCACAGTCGTCAAGCATAGGCAACGCAATGCGTATTTAGCGAGATGGATGAGACCTCCGTGATATACGTATCTTCTCTGTTAAGCATAAGCATCCCAAACTCATTATGTAAGCGCTTGATGTTATGTAGGCTATCGGCTAAAGTCCATCGTTTGCCACCTACACACGACCTTCAACATTTTTGACCATTTTCAATAAAGAATCGATACATAAAGTCTTGTCGAAAGTAACATAATCGGCATTAAACAAGATGCCAAAGTGCCGGGTGTTCTGTAGTTTAGCCGTTCCATGCATCGCGTTTAATAAAACAATATTAAGGAGCTTTAATATTATCTATGAAAGAAAGGTATTAAGTGAAGATAATTCAAAGTTGACCTGTACTCACATAAAAGACATAAATATAGCTATTGGAATGTCTTACGGGCTAGGCGACAAGTTACCTGAAAGGCAGTCGGTTTGGGTAGTTGAGTAGCTACAATAGTTGATTGATTCCTTCCCGTGGAAACCCAAGTATTAGAACCAGGAGAATTAGAGAAGTTTTCATGTCTTCTACTTTTGGAAAGATTATGACGTTTTAAAGCACTGTATACTTGCTAGACTCTTTCTTGTTTGTACTAGACGTTTGGGCAGTGATCTTTGATTTCTTAAAGTTTCGCCCGGTCGTTTCCTGTTGTAAACAAGATGTCTAAAACGTTTTAATTCGACATCGCATTCTTATGCGTTACGAGAGCTGAAATGTCGTTGGGGGTGGAGCGAAGAGACGAATGACAGTTCAGACGAAGCTGGTTTCGGTTTGAAAGTATCTTCATAAGGCCTAAATATTTCCGGAGGAGTATCAAGTTGTGTATTGTTTGTGGCTTTCGAATTTCCGGACAAGTCGTACATGACTAAAATAACAAGAGCAATTGCTGTTCATTTTGCATGGTTTTGGCTATGTTTCTAAGGTTGGTTTTGGCCATCCCATACATTTTCTTTGCAAGAGATGAAACGCAACACTTGGACTCTTACCCTTCAGACACGTGATATGGCGTGATTCGGTGAGTGTTAGGCGGTGTGCACATTGGGATCGCAAGGCATCATGGACGGTGTTCAAAATCTGATCATTTAAGTACGTTGCAAAGTCAGCTATTTTCTTTATTTCCAGAGACGTGTGAAAAGACAAAGTCTATCGAATTATCGGTAGAAAGCAGTCTTGTGCCGTTAATAAGTGTATTTTGCATGTAGTTAGTGAAGAATTGCTTCAGTCATGAAAACACTGAAGGTAAGACCCTTGGTTCGCCGAAAGTTTTGATTTCACCGTCAGATGGTGTAACTAGAACTACCAAGTATTACGCCCGGGGGGGGGGGGGGGGGGT